ACAATGTTATCCTTTTGATAGAGCAGCTAAAATATTAGAATCAGAGTTATACAGCCATTAAAAGTGACAGAAGTCACAAACTAGAAATATGCCTTGGCTCAAGCTAAAACCGAGCTTTGGAGTCAAAAATAGAGAAATAAAAATAGATAAATGCATCAACCATAAAATAGAGAATATTTTTAGCCAGTGCTAATATCAAACGGTAAAAGGAGCATTTCCTTCAAAATATGTTCCCAAACCTTTGCTTCAAAAGTAGATAAAGTTAACTACAGTTTTATTAGATACTTGCCAAATTCACTTGTGTTCAAACATCTGTGAATGTTGACAATGCAAAAAGTTTATGAGTGTAGCCTAGACTAATGTAGCTTAGATTAATGAGATAGATTAGAACCAACAGAGATTCAAAAGCATTTAAAAGCATTTTGATGTATTTGTGTATAGCCAAAACACAATAGTAGATATTTAGATATTGAGAAGTTTAAAAGTTGCTGATTCGCCAGCACAGATTAGAGAATCAAACACCATTGTAGAATACTGACCCCAAACCTGCTAAAACAGATTAGCTCTTGTAAGGATAATAACAATTTGATTAATGATGTACATTCATCCCAAACTGCCTGACAATAATATCTTTAGATAATAAAAAGTAATAAATCACTGACCACTATAGAAGTGTAAATGTTGACCATTTCTCTTTCTGTGTTCACAGTTTTATTCCTGAGAATGTAGAATAGACATGGAGCAAAATCCCACTGACAATAAGCCACTGATAATGAAAGTAAACCACAGAGAGATTTATTAGATTAAAATATATGTTTAAGAAAATGGCTCAATAAAAGAAAACATATTTGTAAATAGATTAGAATAGTTTTAAACTATAGTGAATCATGAAAATAAAGTACACAGTCTAAGATTAAAAAGGGATAATAATACAGTGAAATAAGTGTAAACAATTATCATTAGAATAAAATTGTCTGTGTTTTGACTGAATCTGCTGAGTTCTACTGTGTCCAATAGAGTTTGTTTTTTTGTTTATTTATTTACTTTATTTTTGTTTTGTTTTTTCCCAGGATAGAGGATAAAATCCACTGATATTGATTTGATGATTATTAGTTTAATGCATACATTTTCTTTGTTATTTAACGTTTTTTTTTGTACGTTTTTTTTTTTTTTCACTTTATTGATTGATCAAATTGAGTGATCACATGTGATTATGTGATCAAAGGGGTGAGTGTTAGTATTAGATAGCAATATGGCCTACGTGCAGGACTGTACAAGGACTCTGATTATTTTGACTATGATTTGACTGTCTCTGTGTGACACGTCTTTCCATGTGTGACGTGACAATGACTATATAAACTGTGTACTGACTCCATTCTGTCTGAGAGAAGGAAACAATGGAAACCAGTGGAACTTGAGAGAAACTTAAATAAACTTCCAGAGTTTGGCGCACCACGATCCGTCTCTGTCTGCTTCATTCCTGACAGCAGTAAAGTGTGGATTTAAAGAAAATCGAAGGATTTAAGAAGAAAAAAAGTTCAGGACGACAAGGTACAGTAAAATACCCACAAAATCCGATCTTTATGAAAGCTGTAGGTTCTCTGTCAGCTGAGGTCGAGCTGTTTTAGTTTACATTGAGTTCTAAGGGACTTTTTTCTGGGTAGCCCTCGTGAATTTAGTTTGCAGTACCACAGCGCCCCCTGTGCCCGTGAGTGGGACAGCTGTAAGCTAGTAATACCCTATCCAGTTATTATTATACATCCATGCTAACTAACTTACAATAGTGCATATTTTTATCTCATACAGGTCTGTTGTACAGTCTGACAGCCAAAGGAACACAGGATCTCTTAAAACGTTCCGTTCGGCAGTGCAGTGATAATAAAACAGTAGTTCTGGAACAGTCTTTGGTGAAGTGTCACTCGCAGATTTCAGAGACAGATCCTTGTGAATAAAGTCGAGCCACATTCGCCTCATTCCACGTCTTCGGGCCGAGTACTGTCGTCACATATTTACATCCAAAAACACATGTTCTCCAAGTCACATGATGCTAACACAAAAGCACAGTCTATGGTGGACGCCGGATCAAACTAATATTCACTGTGTATGGAACAAACGCTGTACTCTCAGGTTGCATGCACCGATTCACTGTTTCTCCCCCTTGTCTTCTGCACCGCTGTCAGAATGTACAATAAGTCACTAATGACCTGCTCTAGGACTGAAGAACCAGCTGCTATTGACACTTTTTTATTGTACATAATTATATCCTGCACGGACTATATTTGTAACCTTTAACATGTTTGTTTTCAAACTTCTGCACAATCTGAGTGATTCTGTCTGTGCCAAATGTGACGTGTACATTTCTCCATCAGAGATCAATAAAGTTTATCGTATGTTATCTGTCAATCACCTCCTGGAGGCGGGCTTCTGAAGTCACTAAATGAATCTGTGCCCATCGAGAATGAAAGAGAAAGATCGCTCTCTAACTAAAGCTTTTGGGAATCAATGAAAAACTCTTCTGTGCAGCTGTATGGGGCCAAATAACACTGTAATGATGTTTAAAGAAAAAAAGTTTTAAAAAAATTATTGGGGACCTTTAAACTAAAGAAAAGTAATAAACATAATAAATCTGCTTATTTACACTACAACAGTCGACAGTCGAATTGACGGCTTTTAGATAGATAGATACTTTATTAATCCCCGTAGGAAAAATTGAGGCAGGGTTTGTTTTCTAATAAGACAGAGACGGTCTGTTGTGGTTTGATTTGTTCATTTTATTTTCAAGGCGTTTCCACAGAATTATTATGACGTGAGGTCTGACTGCAGCCAGAAGCAATGTGTGAGATAAATGTGAAAAGGTATTTTTTCTTGTTTTATTCTTACTGCTGTAGTTTTTGAAGCAGGTCCTTGTTCTGTTTTTAGTTTCCTCTTTGGCATTAAAAACCCGGCAATGGACAAAGCGGAAGAAAATGGATGGCCGCATTATGGAGGGGACCACAGATTTACAGACAGCAACTTTAACATTGACTGCCAGCCCATTTCAAAACAGGTACTCCCATATTGCCAGCCGTTTCTGGTGGTTTTTACTGATTTTTCAAGACCCACAGAATATTGTGTACTTTGACTATCTGAAATCTAAAACTAGATTCTGAAAGAATGGGCTGTCTACTCTCACCAGCAAAAATAATTTTGTTTCTATCTTGTTTAGTTCTTCTGTAATCCCCAGTTGAGTAGAGGGAAGTTTTATTGAAATCACCAGAAAGCTGAGAAAAAAGGGCCACAAACAGTGCATCTAGCTGTGTTCAAACCATTCATAGCGCAATGCTGCCATCTGCTGGCTCCATAAAGTATTGCCTCAAGCCAATCTCCACATATTAGATTCAATGGACAGCTGGGAACGTAAAAATAGCGGGAAACGCAATTGACGTGTTAACACGTCATTGGCAGACAACGTTACTATTTAGTTTGACGTGTTAACACGTCAATGGCAGTCAATGAGTTAATAAATATGAGACTTTTTAGTCCAGTTCTCAGGCTTCCTGTGGCTCAGAGAATAGACTTTAAAGCAGCTTTAATTGTTACAAGTCTCTCCATGGCCTCGCACCAAAATATATTAGTGACATGTTAGTCCCACATGAACCAGCCCTGACTCTGAGGAGCACAGGGACTGGACTCCTGCTGGGAATCTGAGGAGCACAGGGACTGGCCTCCTGCTGGGACTCTGAGGAGCACAGGGACTGGCCTCCTGCTGGGACTCTGAGGAGCACAGGGACTGGCCTCCTGCTGGGACTCTGAGGAGCACAGGGACTGGCCTCCTGCTGGGACTCTGAGGAGCACAGGGACAGGCCTCCTGCTGGGACTCTGAGGAGCACAGGGACTGGCCTCCTGCTGGGACTCTGAGGAGCACAGGGACTGGCCTCCTGCTGGTGCCGAGGGTCAGGACTAAACATGGTGAGGCAGCGTTTCAAATTGATGCGGCCAGAATTTGGAACAGTCTTCCTGAGCATGTGAGACAGGCCTCGTCCCTGGCAATGTTTAAGTCCAGGCTGAAAACGGTCTCATTCAGGTGCATACGACTAATTTTAAGCATTTATATTGTTAAATGTTCTTAACGTGTATCTTGTTTAATACAACATGTTTTATATGTATATACTGTTTCTTTTGTTTTTTGTCTGTCTTTTAATTGCTTGTGAAGGACTTTAGGTTACACTGTATGAACTGTGCTTTATAAATAAATGTGATTGATTTACAATGTTCTGTACAACACTGAGCTGTAGGGGGCGGTGTGGAGCTTGGGTTAAGTATTACAGTAACAAACACTGTACTGTGTCAAAAACAGAAACTTCTGCTTTTGTCTTCTTTAAAACATTTACTTCTTCTTTCCTCATCTGCCTTTAGACTTTAGACCTCACACCTGCTTTAGACCGGCCTCAGACCTGCTTTAGACCAGCCTTAGGCCTGCTTTGGAACTGCTTTGGACTGGCATCAGACCTGCTTTAGACCAGCCTCAGGCCAGCCTCAGACCTGCTTTAAACCGGCCTCAGACCTGCTTTGGACCTGCTTTGGACTGGCCTCAGACCTGCTTTAGACTGACCTCCAACCTGCTTTAGACCGGCCTCAGACCTGCTTTAAACCGGCCTGTTCTGGTCTGGTCCTTATCTGACCACACTGAGATCACAAACACTTAGTGTCAAAAACAGAAACTTCTGCTTTTGCTTCATTTAAAACATTTCCTTCCTCTTTCCTCATTCTACTGTCCACTGCCTCAGACTTTCTTCAGTCTGGTTTTACATCAAAATGAGTTTAGACCGGCTCTAGACCTGGCTTAGACCCGGTTTAGTCCTGGTTTAGTCCTGATTTAGACCATCTTTAGCCTTCCTTCCTATTCAGATCTGTTTTCATCCTGCTTTCGCCTTGGTCTAGAGCTGCTTTAAACCTGCCTGAGACCGGCTTTAGACCGTCCCTGGGTCCTGGTCTTGTCTAGTCCTGGTTTGTGACTGAAGATGGCCCTTCTCCTCTTCTGTGAGTCTGGTGCTAACCTTGTTATGGATTGTTTCCATTGTGTTCTTTAGCCTGGTGCTAACTCCTGGTCTCCCACAGGTCTGACTCTGCTGCCACTGCTCGTGTCTCCAAGTGAGTTCTTTTACACCTCTGCTTTTTAAGACACATTTAAAAACATGCACGAAAACCTTCAGAATGACTTAATGATGACAGATAAAGTAGAGGAGAAAAGAGGACAGTGCCAAAGTAGCTTAGTTCTCCCAGCAGTGTGACTCCGTATGCAGCACTACTGTTGGTCCTAAAGCCTCAGTCCTGGTTCTAAAGTCTCAGTCCTGGTCCTAAAGCCTCAGTCCTGGTTCTAAAGTCTCAGTCCTGGTTCTAAAGTCTCAGTCCTGGTTCTAAAGCCTTCAGTCCCTCACACACCGCACATATCATTTGAAGTGGAAAGGCTGGTGCTGTTGGGTTCCGCGAGGCTGATACAAGCCCGATGTAGTGTTAGAGCAGAGTCAAGATGTGGGCATTTAATAAAGAAATACCTGTTGACAGTGAAAGTCCAGACCTTATTTTGGGAGACCAGCCTTCAGTCAACAATAGCCTCTCGTTTCACTGGCTCCAAATGAACCGAGGGGACGAAAAATGCAGGAAAATAGACATAATAAAGTTACTAGTGTCTGTGAACGATTGTGGTGCAATGACTTGGGTCTAGTGCAAACATGACGGAAGTATTGCTAAAAAGAATTGCCCAAAAGTTTAATGTTAGATGACAATAGGGCTGCACAGATAATCACCATCAAATCGAAATAGACATTTTTGCCTGCGCAGTTCTTTTAGGGACAAAACATTTTTTAAGATTGTTTTGCTGCGGTCTTTTATCGTGGTATAATATAAGTGTGAATTATGTGAGATCAGAGAAAAAACACTGAATTCAAGCATTTATCTATGTTAAACTTTGTAAAACCGGGTAGAACTCTATTTTTCTGACCAGTCTGAAGTGTGAGGTAATCGCTTCACACGAGAGATTCTCCAATAACTCTTGAACTTGTTGTTTTTACCGACCATAATTGAACTTTTCGAACATCCAAGAAGTCAGATTCCGCACTAAGCCGCGCTCGTCAGCCCGAAGTAGCCTTTCAGTGAAAATATAATGGTCTTTGACACAAGATCAGCTCCTCACACCCTGAACACTGAGATTAAACATGAAGGTCGTGGGTTCGAATCCCGATCGGAACAGGGCCTTTCTGTGTGGAGTTTGTATGTTCTCCCCGTGTCTGCGTAAGTTTTTTCCGGGTGCTAAGGTTTCCCCTACCACTAAAAACATGCACGATAGGTACGAATGTAACGAGTGGGTGAATGGATGGTGTTTGGTCGGAGGCTTTGATGGTCCGGTGTGTTCGGCGACTCGCTTCCGTCATCGCCGCGTGTGGAGAGAATGGAAAAATATCTGATCTCTGAAGAATTGTAAAGTGCTTCGGGTGATCTTGATCTGTAAAATGCGCTATATAGATAAACATTACCACTACTACAACTACTGCTACACCGCTGCACATGGTCGCAGCGCGCGGTTGGTGATCGGTCTGCGATGAACAGGCTTCCACGAAGAGCGTTGTGGTTGAAATTAGCCCCAAGGCGGATGTTTGATTCTAAGATCTCAGGGCTGTCATTTTTAGTTCCTATTTTATTTTGTATTTTTGTTCTCCTGTGTCTTTTTGAGTGTTACTTCCTGTTCTGTTGGTTGCCTGCTTTTCCTTGATGTGTTTGTGTTTTACATTCAGTTGAGTTTTTTATTTTGCTGTATTGTTTTTTGGGTCCTTCTGCTCTGTTTTTTGAAATGTAACATCAAATCTATTGTTGGAGAATCCACAACTTTGTAAAGTCTTTTGAGACGACTGTTGTTGTGATTTATGGCTTTGCACAAATAATTTGAAATGAAATGAATTGAACTAAAGTTTCTGCTGATGGTTCAGTTTGATCTAAAGGTTTTCAGGGTCTAACGTTCTCCTGTGCTCCTCAGAGATCCTGACGGTGGAGCCAGACTCAGACCAGTTCTTCAGTTCTTCAACAATCAGTCTGAAGTGTGAGGCTCAGTGGACTGTGAAGAGAGGGTCTGGGTCTAAGGTCGAGTCCTGTGGCTTTACCAAAGACTTTGGTAACTTTGACATAACAACTTCCACCTGCCTCCTGAATACCCTCCTCCCCTCAGACTCTGGTGTGTACTGGTGTGAGTCTGCAGAAGGAACTAGAAGCCCAGAGCGCCTCCTGTCTGTCACAGGTAACTATAGACTGTATATAGATGAACAATGCAGTCCAATGAAGGCCAAGTGGAAGTGCTCATGGGCAAAGTCTAACTCTACACTGCAAAAAGTCCCTTGCAAGAAACAAGACAATAAAACCTCAAAAGAAGACAATTCTGCTTATATTAAGCAAAAAAATCTGCCAATGGGGTAAGACTTTTTTCCTTGTCTAGAATTCTTGTTTTAAGATTTTTTTTGCTAATGTATAATGGGAAAAACAAGAACATATTTCTTGATTTAAGCAATTTTCTCCCAATAAAAAGGTCAGATATAAGCAAAATATTCTTATTATTGGATAATTTTTGCAAATAATGCTTAAATAGATGTTTGATTAAGGATAAATTTGCTTGTTTTATGCTCTTTTTGCAGCCTTTTTCTAGTTGTAGACTGGTTTTAAGCAAAATTGGCTTAATAAAGAAAAATAATATAAGCAATACAAATGTTTTTATCAAAGAAGTGAACACAAATGCAAAGGACAGGTTAACACGGTATATTAACAGGAATGAAGGTTGGGCTGGTATTGGGCAGGAGTAGAAGCAGGAGGAAGAGTAGAAGCAGGAGGAGGAGCAGGAGCAGGAGTGAAGTGGCTGCAACGGCACAAGTTTCTGAGATCAGCACAAAACATGAGATCAGACGAGGGCATCAAAAACTTAGCAAAAATAGCAAAAGCCCTGAGGTGTTGTCTCCCGATGTAGACTGAGGACCTGACAGAGGACTGAGGAAATGCCCAGGCTTAAACAAAGAGAGGATTAGATATGAGGGTTAAGCCTGGTTCACACGAGACGATTTTAAAATTGTCGGCCAATTTTTCTCCGTGTTAGACCCCACACGGGGAGATTAAAAATCCTGCGTCTAACCACTTTGGTTGTGCAGTGTGTGGTGCGTAGCCACACGGCAAGATCACGCAAGCCACAAACATCACACACGAACCGACACCCCCCCCCGAGCATTCCCAGGTCAGACGGCGATCTCACAAAATCTCTCGAGATCAAGCGTGACTTCAGAGTAAACAGTCATGGCGGACGAAGAGAATGCAGTGGCGATAGTGTGCAGTTTGTTGTTAACAGAGAAGACACGTAATCCAAAGAAAAGGCAATGGTCAAAGCCATGCTGCTGTGTTTTGGTTTTTTTCCGGTGTTTCCTCACCGGCTTGTCACCTCGTCTTCTTATTGGCTACACGCCGTAGTCATGGCAACGCGCTCGCTTGTCCTCGGAGGACACCACACACGACAAGAAATCGGGCCAAAACAATCCAACATGTTGGATATCCCCGATTTGAGATCGGGAGCAGTCCCGATGTCCTTCCGAGCGACGAGTGCAGTCTTAACACACCACACACGGCAGGATAATCTGTAAGATTTTGTTACGGAAATCGGAGCGTTTCTTAAGATTGTCGTAAGGGGTAAATCGGGTCTAAATCGGCCTAAATATCCTGCCGTGTGAACCAGGCTTTAGGTGTGCAGGACAGGAACAGGGAGGAGGAACAGCCACGCCCACCGCCACGCCCACAGTCACGCCCACAGCAGCAGGACCAGGAGGGAGGGGGTGAGGAGCTCATAGTGAGCTCAAACCAAAACAATATCAGATGCTAATGTGGACTATACTCCATATCACAGGTTTGTACAAACATGTAACATATGTGTCCATTAAATATGATTTGGGTCCAAATATTACTTTTTTAAGCATTTTTTTCTTAATAAGAAAAAGCTAGAATTAATTTCTTAAAATAAGAATTTTATTCAAGGAAATTTTGCTAGACAAGATTTTTTTTCTTTTTATACAAAAAACAAGGTTTTTATTCTTATTTCAAGAGTTTTTTTACTTGCTTAGAATTGATAGATAATTGAAGTAATAGAATAGTTGGACCCAAAACAAGCAACAACTACTTAGTTATTCTCCTCTTTGATTCAAGAATAAATAAGAAAACAAGAAATCTTAAAATAAAAAAAAGGATCTATTCCATTGAATTCAATGTAGTTTCACTTCATTGTATTTGTGAATCGTCCAAACCCACAGCAGCAGTTGCCGAGGAGGATTTAACTCAATAGTCATTATAACTATTTCTAAATAAACACAATATGTTCATGTTCACCACAGGTTGTTCTGGTTGGATCAAACCAAAGTTATGAAGTTACACAAACCAGATTAAATCATGTTAATCCCACATCTTCACATGGGGTCAAGTCCACACAATTCATTACTGCTATAGAAACACATTTGTTTTGGGTGGAAATTATGTCTATAATTTTATTACGTTCATTTAACAAATATTTTTTTGAGTGTAGAATCATACACGTCGAACACAGTAAATGCAATAATAACAAACGCATGGAGCCGTATACGGAGCAGAAATGTTAATAAATGTCCTTAAATGTCCCAGATCATCACAGTCCTTAGACCCTCCTGCATCAGAGGAACCACAGACACCTGTGACACTGACACAATACAACATTATTGGCCTCGTGCACGTGATGCACGTCTCCAACATCATATTTAATGGACACATATGTTACATGTTTGTACAAACCTGTGATATGGAGTATAGTCCACATTAGCATCTGATATTGTTTTGGTTTGAGCTCATTGTGAGCTCCTCACCCCCTCCCTCCTGTTCCTGCTGCTGTGGGCGTGGCTATGGGCGTGGCTGTTCCTGCTGTTGTGGGCGTGGCTGTGGGCGTGGCTGTTCCTGCTCCCTGTTCCTGTCCTGCACACCTGCCCCTCATATCTAATCATTTAAGCCTGGGCATTTCCTCAGTCCTCTGTCAGGTCCTCAGTCTACATCGTGAGACAACACCTCAGGGCTTTTGCTATTTTTGCTAAGTTTTTGATGCCCTCGTCTGATCTCATGTTTTGTGCTGATCTCAGAAACTTGTGCCAGTTGCAGCCACTTCACTCCTGCTCCTGCTCCTGCTGCTGCTCCTGCTCTGGCCCACCCTACCAGCCCAACCTTTATTCCTGTTAATAAACCGTGTTAACCTGTCCTTCGCATTTGTGTTCACTTGTTTGATAAAAAAATTTTGTATTGCTTATATTATTTTTCTTATTAAGCCAATTTTGCTTAAAACCAGTCTACAAGTAGAAAAAGGCTGCAAAAAGAGCATAAAACAAGCAAATTTATCCTTAATCAAACATTTATTTAAGCATTATTTGCTAAAATTATCCAATAATAAGAATATTTTACTTATATCTGACCTTTTTATTGGGAGAAAATTGCTTAAATCAAGAAATATGTTCTTGTTTTTCCCATTATACATTAGCAAAAAAATCTTAAAACAAGAATTCTAGACAAGGAAAAAAGTCTGCAGAATTGTCCTCTTTTGAGGTTTTATTGTCTTGTTTCTTGCAAGGGACTTTTTGCAGTGTAACTGGCTTACATTGAACAGTAAACAAGCTCAGTAACAGTTTGTGTCAGTACATTTTGGGTTTATATTGTGATATTGTCTGTGTGTAAATGTACCCCCCAGATGCCTTCATTCACAGGGGAAACTCCGGCTTGCCTTAGCAACCATGTTAGCAACACGTCTGCCCCTGTCTCCACCGGACATTACCCATATAGGGAAATTTGCTCCAGCTGGCTTATGTTCAAATCGGCTTCTTCCGCATTCTGCAAACACTATAGTGACATCACACTCGTTAATCTACTAATTATAAACAGTCTGTAAAGGTTAGGCTGCAGCAGAGCGCCCCCTCCCTGTCACAGGCCTCACTGCAGACTCAGAGCAGTGTCATCGTGGAGGGATGGTTCAGACCAGAGTCATCCATGACGGCTGTGATCACATTTGCTGAGATGTGAAAGCACCAAACAAGTGAACCCTGGTCCACTATCGACTCAGTGAAGTTCACTTTGAACCGGATCACGGACGTCATGACGACGGCTGCATTTGTTTTGAATCCAGTAGACCAAGTGTGAACAGGCCCCAAAGCTCCTTCTGGACATGACTTTGTGTATTCAAGAACAACAACAATGTAAATGTTCAAGTTGACGTTGAACGTAAACTACAGTCTGTGTTTTTGCTTCGTAGGTAAAAACCTGATCCTGGACCTTCCTGGACCGTCTGTAGAAGAGGGATCCAGCATCACTCTGAGCTGTAGGACCAAGCCTGGGACCGAGTCTGGCTCTGGTCCGGTCCTGCTGAAGGATGGCCTCGTCGTACAGAACAGCTCTGAGTGGACTTTCACTGTGGAGAAGAAAGATGAAGGAGAATACAGCTGCAGAGATGGAAGTGAAGAGTCTGAGATGAGAAGGCTCCAGGTCACAGGTGAGGAGGCCTTTAACAGAATAAAGAAGTAAGTATATAATCTCTAACTTTAGCAGAATAAATAAGTAAGTATATAATCTCTAACTTTAGCAGAATAAATAAGTAAGTATATAATCTCTAACTTTAGCAGAATAAAGAAGTAAGTATATAATCTCTAACTTTAGCAGAATAAAGAAGTAAGTATATAATCTCTAACTTTAGCAGAATAAAGAAGTAAGTATATAATCTCTAACTTTAGCAGAATAAAGAAGTAAGTATAAAATCTCTAACTTTAGCAGAATAAGGAAACAAGTATAAAAGGTCTTGGAATAGAGAGAATAGGCCATCAGGTTCTATCTCGTCCTGAGTCTTGAACGGTCTGATTGTCTCATGAGGATTAAAATTGAGGAATGTCAAAAAAATAATTTCTCTCTGATGGAATGAAATAAAAGTCGAGGGTAAAACCAGCTTAAGGGTTTAAAGAATGGTACAAGTATAAACAGGACAAATGTGAGACTTCTCTCTTTTTCAGTGCGGCCCACAACCACTCCTACCTCCTCGCCTCCTACCTCCTTGTCTCCTAGCTCTTCTGCTCTGTCTTCTCCAGAACCCAGTGGTGCTCCTACTGGCTTCACCCCATTTCTGCTGGGTGGTCTGGTCCTGCTGGTTCTGGTCCTGGTCCTCGTCCTAGTCCTGGTTTTGCACAGAAGACGGACTCGAGCAGGTCTGTGGAAACTGATAATGAAGAGCTGTTTAACTGGAAGTGACTTTTTTTGTGATTCTCAGATCCAGAAAAAGATGTGACTTATGCCGACATCACAGTGAGAGGGGTAGAAGAGGTACGCACTGGGGGACCTGACCATTACACTCACACTGACCACTGCCACGATTTCTGCTGACAGTCCTATCGGTTGAAAAATAAAATAAACGTAACATATAGTGGCAGGGTGAGGATGCTGAAGATCCTTAAGGAGCGACTAAACACCGGTCCCCAGCCTGACTCCGCCCACAAGAACATTTGAACATTAAAAGGGTGTTGCCTGGAGAACCAAGGGACAAGAAGGGGGGCTTAGAGTTGGGTGTGGTCTGGGCTGTGATTGACAGTTGTCGTTGCTGCTTAAAGCAATAGTTTACACACCAGTTTACACACTAAGATTATTGTAGAGCTACACACCTGAACCTAATCCACAGAATTATCTCAGCAGTAGTGGTTGTCAACTCATGTAAATTCATTCTAATCCACTAGATCGCCAGAATACCCCAACCTGCTGCTGGGGCATGTGAGACTTGGATGGGTTTATATCACTGGCGCAGACAGACGCACGTCACACACACCAACTGACGTCACACACACCAACTGACGTCACACACAACCAACTGACGTCACACACACCAACTGACGTCACACACAACCAACTGACGTCACACACACCAACTGACGTCACACACAACCAACTGACGTCACACACACCAACTGACGTCACACACACCAACTGACGTCACACACACCAACTGACGTCACACACACCAACTGACGTCACACACACCAACTGACGTCACACACACCAACTGACGTCACACACACCAACTGACGTCACACACACACCAACTGACGTCACACACACACCAACTGACGTCACACACACACACCGACTGACGTCACACACACACCGACTGACATCACACACACCAACTGATGTCACACACACCAACTGACGCCACACACCAACTGAAGTCACACACACCAACTGACGTCACACACACCAACTGACGTCACACACACCAACTGACGTCACACACACCAACTGACGTCAAACACACACACCAACTGACGTCACACACACACCCACTGGCGTCACACACACACACAACTGACGTCACACACACACCGACTGACATCACACACACCAACTGATGTCACACACACCCAACTGACGTCACACACACACCAACTGACGTCACACACACACCAACTGACGTCACACACACACACCGACTGACGTCACACACACACCGACTGACATCACACACACCAACTGATGTCACACACACCAACTGACGCCACACACCAACTGAAGTCACACACACCAACTGACGTCACACACACCAACTGACGTCACACACACACCAACTGACGTCACACACACCAACTGACGTCAAACACACACACACCAACTGACGTCACACACACACCCACTGGCGTCACACACACACCAACTGACGTCACACACACACCGACTGACATCACACACACCAACTGATGTCACACACACCAACTGACGTCACACACACACCAACTGACGTCACACACACCAACTGACGTCACACACACCAACTGACGTCACACACACCAACTGACGTCACACACACCAACTGACGTCACACACACACCAACTGACGTCACACACACACCAACTGACGTCACACACACACACCGACTGACGTCACACACACACCGACTGACATCACACACACCAACTGATGTCACACACACCAACTGACGCCACACACCAACTGAAGTCACACACACCAACTGACGTCACACACACCAACTGACGTCACACACACCAACTGACGTCACACACACCAACTGACGTCACACACACACCAACTGACATCACACACACACCAACTGACGTCACACACACACCAACTGACGTCACACACACACCAACTGACGTCACAAACACCAACTGACGTCACACACACCAACTGACGTCACACACACCAACTGACGTCACACACACCAACTGACGTCACACACACCAACTGACGTCACAAACACCAACTGACGTCACACACACCAACTGACGTAACCAAACCAACTGACGTCACACACACCAACTGACGCCACACACACCTTCTGATGACACACACACCAACTGACGCCACACACACCAACTGACGTCACACACACCAACTGACGTCACACACACCAACTGACGTCACACACACCAACTGACGTCACACACACCAACTGACGTCACACACACCAACTGACGTCACACACACCAACTGACGTCACACACACCAACTGACGTCACACACCAACTGACGTCACACACACACCAACTGACGTCACACACCAACTGACGTCACACACACACCCAACTGACGTCACACACACACACCGACTGACGTCACACACACACCGACTGACATCACACACACCAACTGACGCCACACACCAACTGAAGTCACACACACCAACTGACGTCACACACACCAACTGACGTCACACACACCAACTGACGTCAAACACACACACCAACTGACGTCACACACACACCCACTGGCGTCACACACACACCAACTGACGTCACACACACACCGACTGACATCACACACACCAACTGATGTCACACACACCAACTGACGTCACACACACCAACTGACGTCACACATACCAACTGACCACACACACCAACTGAACGCCACACACACACCAACTGAAGTCACACACACCAACTGACGTCACACACACCAACTGACGCCACACACCAACTGACGTCACACACACCAACTGACGTCACACACACCAACTGACGTCACACACACCAACTGACGTCACACACACCAACTGACGTCACACACACCAACTGACGTCACACACACCAACTGACGTCACACACACACCAACTGACATCACACACACACCAACTGACGTCACACACACCAACTGACGTCACACACACACCAACTGACGTCACAAACACCAACTGACGTCACACACACCAACTGACGTCACACACACCAACTGACGTCACACACACACACCGAACTGACGTCACACACACACCGACTGACATCACACACACCAACTGATGTCACACACACCAACTGACGCCACACACCAACTGAAGTCACACACACACCAACTGACGTCACACACACCAACTGACGTCACACACACCAACTGACGTCACACACACCAACTGACGTCAAACACACACACCAACTGACGTCACACACACACCCACTGCGTCACACACACACCAACTGACGTCACACACACACCGACTGACATCACACACACCAACTGATGTCACACACACCAACTGACGTCACACACACCAACTGACGTCACACATACCAACTGACCACACACACCAACTGACGCCACACACACACCAACTGAAGTCACACACACCAACTGACGTCACACACACCAACTGACGCCACACACCAACTGACGTCACACACACCAACTGACGTCACACACACCAACTGACGTCACACACACCAACTGACGTCACACACACCAACTGACGTCACACACACACCAACTGACATCACACACACACCAACTGACGTCACACACACACCAACTGACGTCACACACACACCAACTGACGTCACACACACCAACTGACGTCACACACACCAACTGACGTCACACACACCAACTGACGTCACACACACCAACTGACGTCACAAAACACCAACTGACGTCACACACACCAACTGACGTCACACACACCAACTGACGTCACACACACACCAACTGACATCACACACACACCAACTGACGTCACACACACACCAACTGACGTCACACACACACCAACTGACGTCACACACACCAACTGACGTCACACACACCAACTGACGTCACACACACCAACTGACGTCACACACACCAACTGACGTCACAAACACCAACTGACGTCACACACACACCAACTGACGTAACCAAACCAACTGACGTCACACACACCAACTGACGCCACACACACCTTCTGATGACACACACACCAACTGACGCCACACACACCAACTGACGTCACACACACCAACTGACGTCACACACACCAACTGACGTCACACACACCAACTGACGTCACACACACCAACTGACGTCACACACACCAACTGACGTCACACACACCAACTGACGTCACACACCAACTGACGTCACACACACACCAACTGACGTCACACACCAACTGACGTCACACACACACCAACTGACGTCACACACACACACCGACTGACGTCACACACACACCGACTGACATCACACACACCAACTGACGCCACACACCAACTGAAGTCACACACACCAACTGACGTCACACACACCAACTGACGTCACACACACCAACTGACGTCAAACACACACACCAACTGACGTCACACACACACCCACTGGCGTCACACACACACCAACTGACGTCACACACACACCGACTGACATCACACACACCAACTGATGTCACACACACCAACTGACGTCACACACACCAACTGACGTCACACATACCAACTGACCACACACACCAACTGACGCCACACACACACCAACTGAAGTCACACACACCAACTGACGTCACACACACCAACTGACGCCACACACCAACTGACGTCACACACACCAACTGACGTCACACACACCAACTGACGTCACACACACCAACTGACGTCACACACACCAACTGACGTCACACACACACCAACTGACATCACACACACACCAACTGACGTCACACACACCAACTGACGTCACACACACACCAACTGACGTCACAAACACCAACTGACGTCACACACACCAACTGACGTCACACACACCAACTGACGTCACACACACACACCGACTGACGTCACACACACACCGACTGACATCACACACACCAACTGATGTCACACACACCAACTGACGCCACACACCAACTGAAGTCACACACACCAACTGACGTCACACACACCAACTGACGTCACACACACCAACTGACGTCACACACACCAACTGACGTCAAACACACACACCAACTGACGTCACACACACACCCACTGGCGTCACACACACACCAACTGACGTCACACACACACCGACTGACATCACACACACCAACTGATGTCACACACACCAACTGACGTCACACACACCAACTGACGTCACACATACCAACTGACCACACACACCAACTGACGCCACACACACACCAACTGAAGTCACACACACCAACTGACGTCACACACACCAACTGACGCCACACACCAACTGACGTCACACACACCAACTGACGTCACACACACCAACTGACGTCACACACACCAACTGACGTCACACACACCAACTGACGTCACACACACACCAACTGACATCACACACACACCAACTGACGTCACACACACCCAACTGACGTCACACACACACCAACTGACGTCACACACACCAACTGACGTCACACACACCAACTGACGTCACACACACCAACTGACGTCACACACACCAACTGACGTCACACACACCAACTGACGTCACACACACCAACTGACGTCACACACACCAACTGACGTAACCAAACCAACTGACGTCACACACACCAACTGACGCCACACACACTGATGACGTCACACACCAACTGACGCCACACACACCAACTGACGTCACACACACCAACTGACGTCACACACACCAACTGACGTCACACACCCCAACTGACGTCACACACCAACTGACGTCACACACACACCACTGACCACACACCAACTGACGTCACACACACACCAACTGACGTCACACACACACACACCGACACGTCACACACACACCGACTGACATCACACACACCAACTGATGTCACACACACCAACTGACGCCACACACCAACTGAAGTCACACACACCAACTGACGTCACACACACCAACTGACGTCACACACACCAACTGACGTCAAACACACACACCAACTGACGTCACACACACACCCACTGGCGTCACACACACACCAACTGACGTCACACACACACCGACTGACATCACACACCACCAACTGATGTCACACACACCAACTGACGTCACACACACCAACTGACGTCACACATACCAACTGACCACACACACCAACTGACGCCACACACACACCAACTGAAGTCACACACACCAACTGACGTCACACACACCAACTGACGCCACACACCAACTGACGTCACACACCAACTGACGTCACACACACCAACTGACGTCACACACACCAACTGACGTCACACACACCAACTGACGTCACACACACACCAACTGACGTCACACACACACCAACTGACGTCACACACACACCAACTGACGTCACACACACACCAACTGACGTCACAAACACCAACTGACGTCACACACACCAACTGACGTCACACACACCAACTGACGTCACACACACCAACTGACGTCACACACACCAACTGACGTCACAAACACCAACTGACGTCACACACACCAACTGACGTCACACACACACACTGACGTCACACACTGACGTCACACACACCAACTGACGTCACACACACCAACTGACGTCACACACACCAACTGACGTCACACACACCAACTGACGTCACACACACCAACTGACGTTCACACACACAAACACAACACACACCAACTGACGTCACACACACACACACTGAGTCACCACCCAACTGACGTCACACACACCACTGAAGTCACTGACATCACACACACCAACTGACGTCACACACACCAACTTATGTCACAACACACCAACTGACGTCATACACACACACTGTCGTCACACACACCCGCTGACGTCACACACACCAACTGACGTCACACACACCAACTGACGTCACACACACCAACTGACGTCACACACCAACTGACGTCACACACACACCAACTGACGTCACACACACCAACTGACGTCACACACACCAACTGACGTCACACACACCAACTGACATCACACACACCAACTGACGTCACACACACACCAACCGACGTCACACACACACCAACTGACGTCACACACACCAACTGACGTCACACACACACCAACTGAGGTCACACACACCAACTGACGTCACACACCAACTGACGTCACACACACCAACTGACGTCACACACACCAACTGAAGTCACACACACACCAACTGACATCACACACACCAACTGACGTCACACACACCAACTGACGTCACACACACACCAACTGACGTCACACACACACCAACTGACGTCACACACACACCAACTGACGTCACACACACACACTGACGTCACACA